GCAGAGGCTGCCGGGCTGGGGCGGCCTGCGAGGGGCGGCTTCCCCGCGCCCTGTGGCGGGGTGTGAGGTGACGGCCCTGCGCGGAGGGCTCCGTCTTTCGGGGAGGGTTTAAGTCCTGGCTGGGCTTCCCCCCTGCTCCCAAGGGAACGGCTGCCGTGCGGGGTAGCGGGCGGTGGCGTTCAGAGCCCGCTCTTCTCAGTTACTCCTCCGTTGGTCACGCGTTCAGAGCCTCAAAGCAGCTACTTACTGCTTTGTACCGAGTAATTTCTGCTTTAATGCTCAGGGAATTGGCGCCCATGTTCCCAGCCCTGCGGGCGAGCTGAGGCAGCGCCCGTGTTATTCCTCAGCCCTTTTTCTCCCGGCAGGATGCCGCGCTGAGGTGGAAGATGGCTTTGTGGGCTCGGCAGCTCTCCCGCCGGTGTTGCCTGCTGCAAGCGGCCCGTGCTGCTGGATTGCCTCTGAGGCTGAGGGGCCGCAGCAGCACCGCACAGGCGTGTCCTGGGTTCGCCCCTCTGGCTCTGCTGCCCTCTAGAAATGATCTTCCGTGGAGATGGCAGGCATACCGGCATGTATCGGTAGGAAGCTGTTCTCCACCTGGCAGTACCAAGGATGCATCCTTTTCTTCTCCTGAAAGTAACTTGCCTTCGCCAGTAAAACAGGAACAAGCAAAACCTGAAACATTACCTGATCTGAATGCAAAAATACTGTATGAAGGTAAGAGGTTAGGGGTACTGTTTCTCCTGAACTTCCAAATCATGTTTTCAGTGTTACCCTAGGTTCCCCTTTTTTGGCCTGTTTATCTAAAATACTTATCTGAAGTTCCCGACTTTCACTTGGTTTTAGCCCCATAGTTAATGCAGAATTCCTGTGGTCACCTTTAAGCCGATATAAAGATACGTTTTGGGTAGAAATGTCGGTCTGGAGCTGCTGTTTGAAGAGCTATTCTTTTTGTAACTCTACCTGCAGCAACTGAGCATTTGCCTTTCCCTCATAGTTGTACTGGTACGAAATAAAGGGGTTGGTTTGTTGGTTTTGGGTTGGGTTTTTTTTTGAGCAGGAGTGGGGAAGGCCACCCCTGAAGCAGCTCACGCAAAGCAGCCGTTTGAATGATCAGGGATGAACAACAGGAGGCAGCAGAGTGTGAAGCCTGCTTAAGTGCAGCCCTGATGAGAAATGTTCGTCAAACTGTCTCCTGAGGCAAGGACGATAGATACAAGGTCGCCTTGGTGTTGTTGCTCTGGGGAAATTGCCTCACTTTTCTCTACTTTTATATCTAAGTGAGGATAAAAAAAAATACCACCCTCTGAAAATAATTCTAGTATGCTGAGGAAACTTGCTCTGGATTACTAAGCAGTCTTGTATGTTCAGATTCTGCTTTGAGCCCAGCCAACTTGGATCCTACAGAGCTTATTTTTGGGGTGGCTCAGAGCTGCAACTGAGATCTGTGTGTTTGTGCAGCTGGTTCTGGAAACAGTGCTGCACCAGAACTGACAGGTCAGCCAGCTCGTATGTGTCTGCACCTGCGGTGCATTTTATTTATGTGCCAGATTTTTATCTGCCAGCAGACTTACTGTTGTGTATGTGTGCGTGTGGAGCATTTTGCCCAGTTGGCAGTGTATATAACGGAATAAACATAATTGCGAACTTTTTCGTTTGGGTAACTTGAGGTGTGTTTTCTGATAGGACGTTTAAAGAACTTAGAGCGGCAAAAAAAAAAGAGCATCTATGCTTCCAGAATGGACCCTGGTGTATATTGGTTCGGTCCTTAACAAGTTGAAAGGAAATGCTTGATATCCATATAGATTCCTAGAGAGTTCTTATTACTGATTAAGGTGTAAATGTTGTTAAAAACGTTTTACTGTTCTTTTGTTTCTGAGGTTTTGAGAAAAAGAAGTGGCAAGACCTTCAACAGCTATTGACCTAGTCTGTGCAACTCTTCCTAGAACAACAGAATCTTCCTACTTATTTTGGAACCTGTCTTGGTAGTTCTGGTGTGGCTTTGTTTTTTTGACATGGAATAGTGTTACCCTGGTCTCTAGGAAGTCATTGTGCGAAGGTACAGGACACAGAAAATCCTGATCCTGAAGAGTTTATAATTAGGGCTGTTGATCAGTAATCAGTTTGAGGTGGATGCTAGCAGTCAGCCTGCAAAGCAGTAATCTTGATCTAGCTGCTGGAAAAATAGATCAGTTTAGAGAAATATTTTTTAAAAAGACATTGCGTTCTGTGACTTGGAACACTTAAGGGGAAACAAGCATAATGATGTTTGCCTGGAAACCTTCATGAGTAGGAAATGGAGCTTGACTTCTTTAGCTGTTAGAGGTGGTGGCAGTCAGCAGCCATTCTGTAATGGATAAGACATGATAGCTTGATTGAAGTTGGCTGTGAACTACCTTGAAAGTTAAAACAACTGCCGTTCAGGCATCAGATTCGGAAGAGGCACAAAGTAGCGGGCTTGCCAGGTTATGAAAAATAATCTTTGCAGTAGCCTTTGATCTGGATATGATCAGGCAAGAATACATTTGTGAAAACATGAAAGAAAATTCTTTTTCAAGAAGGTGATGTGATCTGTTGTCTGCAGTGATTGAGGCACCAGACTGAAGGCAGGCTTGCTGGGTACTGCACTGAGATCCCACCACATGAGCAAGAGTTGATGGGCAGTGACAAGGAGATGGAACAGAGACAAAAACTGGGAGTAGAGTCTATGTTTTCAAATAATAATAGATTGTCTGTTCTTCTCGCGCAGTGTTCTTGCATTTTGAAACGGATTTTAAGAGATCGGTATAGCGTTTGGTGGGAGTAGCTTTGTCTTTCACAAAATGCATTTGGGTCTTCTATATTTGTTTCTTAGACTGGGATGACATCCCACCTTCATCTGCTTTGGAGGAGATTTCTGAGGAAGAAGCTGTACAGATCATTGGAGAACCGCTTCTTCCCCTTCAGTCTTCTACACTCCGAGATTATGTTGATCACTCAGAAACCCTGGCAAAACTTGTCCACCTAGGTATGTGTGATTTTATTTATGTGGTTTGCCTGTATCCAGAGCTTTGGAGATTCTATAATTTGTGTTTTGATCTTACTGGTTGCCTTGTAAGCTTGAAAATAAGAACAGTGACCAATAGCTAAGGGCAGCAGAACGTTATCTGGGGTAAATGGAAAGAGAGAGAGGACTGCATGACTCGCTAGCAATGCTGTATTAGTTGCAGACAAGCCTGGCTAGCTTTAGTCCCTTAGTGCTGTGGATGCTAAAAGGAGGCATCTCCCACAGCTTCTGGAAGTGGGGAGCACTTTGTGTAACTTGATTGGTCTCTCTTCTTTTGGACTGGTTAAGGATGCTTTCTTTGCTGCAAAAGAAATTGCAGCTCTCTGTCCTTGGAAGGAAGGAAGGAGAGCGGCTGCTGTGCAGAACCTTAGAAGTGGGGCACGCTAAGCTGGAGAGGCAAGGAGGAAGGGATAGAAGAGAACCTTACTTCTCATCAAAAAGCACTTGGACTGTGCAGGGATAGCTGAGTTCAAGGTTGCTGGCCACCTCCTTGTTTCCCAAAAGTACAAGGAACACTAGGAGGAGGTTGGAGAAATAAATATTTGAGAGGGGGAGATCTGGCTCCGTGCAGTAACAAATTGCTATGTGTGAGCCAGTATCCAAAGGCACTTCATTGCAAAATTGTCCCCTTCCCTTGTATAATGGAGCTGGGAATTCCTTGCACACATACTTCTGTGCAACAAGAGTAGGTCTCTACATGTGGCACGTGCTAGTGTACCTGATTCCTCATGTGCAGGATTCACTGCAAATGTCTTCCTTCAAAAAATAAACTTAGTGAAAGCGACTAGAATGCCTGCTTGTTTTATCTGGAATCTTTCCACAATATTCAAGGTGTTGTGACCTTGCTGTGTTGAGCAATATGAAGCATGCTAAATCAGTGCAAAAAAGGAGTAGTCCTATACATTTCAACATGCCTTCCTGAAACAAATATAGGAAGTAGGGTCTGTGTTTTGATTAAAACAATATCTAATTTTGTTTGTTGTAGGAGTTGACTTATCCCAAGTGGAGAAACGTCAAAAGGCAGGACAACTCTTACTGACCTTGGACTTTGAAAAAGACATAAGAAAAATACTTCTGTTTCTTAAGGATGTGGGTGTAGAAGACAGTCAGCTGGGATCATTCCTGACCAAAAATCCATACATCCTTGCTGAAGATCTGGAAGCTTTAGAAACCAGGTAAGCCTTTCAAATACCAGCAGGGTGTTAAGCCCCTTGGCTTGAAGATCTGGTTTCCCAGTTGGCTTAACCTGGTCTGAACCTGTGTTGCTGCTGCTTCCTTTCTCACTCGATCCCTGGCTCCATGTCCCTGTGCCTTCCCATCAGTCAGCATTAACATGTGGTGGTATCACAAGTCAGGTCAACACCCTGATCCACCTGAAAACTGTCCATTAACAAATTTTACTGCTCATCCCTGTGTCTCTGCCACAGAGGAAGCAGCTTGCCATCCTAGGCCACTTGCTTTTACCTGTGTCAGCTCAGATTTCAGAATGTTGGTCCCTGAGGCTTTATGTAAATTTGTAGAACAATATTAACCTCTTCAGTCATGCTTTGAAACCGCTCT